TGTGTGTGTGTGTGTGTGTGTGTGTGTGTGTGTGTGTGTGTGTGTGTCAGTTTGTCTGTTTTAAGACAGGGTTTCTCAGTATAGTTCTGGCTGGTCTCGAACTTACTTGGTAGACCAGGCTGGCCTTGACCTCAGATGTGCCTGCCTGCCTCTGCCTCCAGAGCGCTGGGATGAAAGGTGTGAGCCAAAAAAGAAGGGCCTTTCTAAAGGCCTGATAAAAATCTACCACACACTGATTAAAATGTTGGCCATATCTTTATGGCTTTTAAGTGGAGTTCTATGTGTTTGGGGAACCATAACATTTCCCACAAAGTCTTACAAACAGTCCCTTAATACATTTTCATCAAACTAACGTTTGCGAGCACCATTTGGAGCTGACATGCTGCTCATTGGCAGAGTTCTTGCCCAGCATGCACAAGTTCCTAGGTTAATCAGTAAGACGAAAAACTTCCCATTTGACTTCTAATGAAATCTTGGATGGGACAATTATTATTACCACTCACTCAGAGATAAGTACTATAAGCATTCTGAAATACTCTCTTAGCTATAGCTACTTTTATGATCCTTGATACACCATAGTTTTAGCACCCTGTATACATTTTAATACTTTTTATCCATGATATAGAATTAATTTAACAATGAAATTCTATGATAAAAACAGTCCATTTTCCAAACTGTGGTATAGGTTGAGTACATTTTATTTTATAGTATGGGTATGGCTTCAATTTATTTTGAGACATATGTACAACTTTGGATCCATTTTCTTTTCATCTCTCAATTTTCAATGACTCAGTGTTGTATGATCAAAACGGTACATTAGTGAGCCTGTGTTTTCTGTGATTTATTTTGGTTCTCTCAGCTCATTTTTATAAAACAGATCAGTGTGTCACTTCATCTTGGGTACCAATCTCAAGCTAAACTGCCACATGGACACTTCAGCTCCTCTCCGTTTACAGTTCATTTACCTCAAAAATAAGTGACTTCCCTAAGGTTTTTGGGTTTGTCTGAAGGGTTGTGAGACAGGGTTTCTCTGTATAGCCCTGACTATCTTGGAACTCCCTCTGTAGACCAGGCTGGCCTCGAACTCAGAGATCTGCCTGCCTCTGCCTCCCAAGTACTAGGGTGTGCACCACCACCGCCCTCTAAATTTCTATCCTAATAAATTACAAGAACTTGAACCCTTAACTATTGTCTCCTAAGTCTACGCCTTAGAATATAAAACTCAAACTCCATTTTTACCATGGAAACCAGTTCTAAAATAATATAAAAGAGTACAATTCCAATGAAATGAGCTGCCAGCCATAGACATGGAAAAAAAAAGCATCATTACTAAATGAAAAGCCCAACATCAACAGTCTACACAATATATAATTCCAACCATGATATCCTGGTACGTGCAGAACTATGGATAGAATAAAATAATTTGAGGGGGGGAGGGATAAATAGGAGTTTTAGGGAAATAAAACTACTGTGTATGATATCATGGTAGATGTATGTCATTGCACATTAGTAAAAACTCATGAAATGTATACCAAAAGAGGAATCAAAAATAAACGTCAGGCACTTGGTAAGAAGGTATGTTAGCACAGGCCCATTAACTAATGTACCACTCTGATGATAAGGTTAATGGAGGGAGAAGCTGTGCATATAGGGGAGTACAAGGAAGTGTTTGCTTGTTTTTAACTGTTTTGCTATGAATCTGATTGTTCTAAAAATGTCATTTTATCTATTAAAAATTCCAGAAAGAATTACACTCTGTCAAATCTAAAAGTAACCTTATTTATATATGCTAGAGAGCTGTGTAGTGACATAAAAGATTATACAGTGCATCACATGCCACCATTTGTATAAGAAAAAAGGAAAACATTTGTTTTCTTTCACACACAGAGGTTCTCAATAAGAATAAATAAGAAGTGAATATTAATGGTTAATAGGGGAGAAAAATAGGTAGTGACTGAGGTAGCAGATACTTTAAAAAAAAAAAAAAAAGCCATACACAGGACTGGGATGTGGCTCAGTAGCAATGCTGTTTGCCTAGTCTGAAAAAGGCTGTGAGTTAAATCCCTAGCACCACAAAAAGATGTATGCATGTAATTTTATTAAAATATAATAACTGTTCAAAATAGGAGGCTGAGGATATCGTTTGCAGTTCTCAGCACTGACATGGCAGCTCACAACAACCTATAACTCTGGATCTAAGTAATTCAGCACCTTCTTCTGTCTTCCAAAGGTACCAGGTATGAACACATTTACATACATACAGGCAAAACACTCATACACACACACACACACACACAAAAAAAAAAAAAACCACACATCTTTAAAATATGTATATTTACTGCTTATAATAATGGGATTCAATGAGACATTTTCTTAAATGCATAGCATATTTTATATAATTATAATTAATTATAATACACAGGAAATCTTGGCAGATCTGATCCATTTCAGTATAATTTCTGTATTTTTTATGTAACCCCAAAAAAGTTACAACAAAATTATCCAATACTTCTGATACAGAATCTAATTTTCCAAATCATATGTACACGTTGGTTTTACTACCACAGCTTTGGAGAGGGTGCAGATGGCCACAGGTGCACGTGGCAGTCAGGGCAAGAGGGGTCACCCCCACCATGGGAGTCGCAGAGACTGAACTCAGGCTTGGTGGAAAGCACCTTCACCCACTGAGCCATCTTCCCTGCCCTACACTTTACTGTATACATTCATTAAGGACAATGAGATGTTTCAACAGATGTATCTTTTATAGATTTTGTTTTTCAAACAGAATCTATGAAGCCAATGAAGGTCTCAAACTACCCTCCTTCCTCAGATTCCCTAGTATTGAGATTATACACAGACTTTATCATGCCCAATGAACTTAACCTTTCTATCAAACTCAAAAAGCCCAACATCTCTTACCTTCTCCATACCACACCAGAGAGTTCTTTTTATTATCATACTTACTGGTGCCATCTCCATGTTATTTATCTGAGCCTCATGAAAGCCACCATCTGACATAACTTCTTCTTCTGTTTCTTCTTCTGCTGTAGCAACATTTCTTCTCTTGAATAACTGGAAAGTAAAAGCATTTCTAATTTTAACACAAGGGAATTCAACACTTTCTTAATTCTAAAGCTTTGCTCTGCTTTTAGTGTTTTCTGATGAGGAAAGATTTCAGACTTCTCTACAGTCTTACAATTGAACTACCACAATATGTATGTCAATACTCAGGGCATAAATATGACATTGTATAACATAAATGTGATTGGTAGTGGCAATGATTGGTGGTGGTAGTGGTGATGATGATGATGATGGTGATGGCGGTGGTGGTAACAACAACCCACAAGGATGAAAACAGGATTTTGGGCATACTGAGGCCATTATTTCCCTCGACACTTGGTAGTCTTAACAATTCCTCAGGAAAAAATGACAAATGTGCTATATTAGAATGATTCAATATTTCATCTTAGCAATCTTCAAGGATAATATAATTAAGGTTTCTAGCTTTGCCATTCTCTAGGAATCAATGCCAGCAAAGGATGACTATACAAACCATATCTTTAACACATGCATTACTTTTCTGAGGCAATACTTTATATTGTTTTTCTACGTCTTCAATCCAGTGCTAAGTTTGTATCATACATAACAATTTTAACTAGTCACATATTAATTGTAGCAAGTGGCCACCATACTGTACAATCAGCTCAAAAGCTTAGAAGTTCAGGCAGGTGGAAGCAGCATGAGAACAGCTAGAACCTGAAGCTCTACAGAACACACTTTGAATATAACTGCAGTATTCAGATGGTGTCCAAGGTCCCTCCCAGTAACAAAGACCATCACTTTCTTGACAGCCCAAGCTGTGCCATTAAAGAACTTCAACTACCTACTTTCAATAAACAAACTTTAGATAAGGACTAGGGATGAGTCACTGAGCAAGTATATGGTGCTGGTCCTTTCCACGTCTGCAAACACTCATACTTAGCTTGCTTCAGATGTACAGATACACAGACATTGGCTTGAACTGAATTTCAGTCAAATTTTTTAGTATATCATTTTGGGTTCACAATTATGACAGAATTATAATACATCAGAAAATAGTAAAGCAATTAATCTACAACATCAGGCTCTGGTTGGAGAATTAAGAGTAATTCATAAAATGGTTAGAATGGAGCTGGGTACTCAGGAGACAGAAACATGAAGATCTCTGTGAGTTCAAGGCTAGCCTGGCCAGCCAGGGCTACACAGGGAGATTTGTCTCAAAAATATGCTTAGAGCATGCCAGACACAGTGGTACAAGCCTGTAATCCCAGCACTTGGGGAGGCAGAGCTCCGTGAGTTCAAGGCCATCCTGGTCTACAAAAAGTCCAGGATAGCCAAGGTTACACAGAGAAACTCTATAAATAAATAAATAAATAAATAAATAAATGAATGAATGAATGAATGAATGAATAAATAATGAGACAAAAAGCTTAGAATGGTACCTGATATAGCAAATACTCTCTAATTACCTACACTTCAAAATTATTAATTTGTTCAGTTCACTAATTTAGAACTATAGTCTTATTATTTACAACAAAAATCTAACATACTAATTTTCTTTGTAAAGTCAATAAAATTTTGCAAACTAAAATAATGTGACATGTGACTTTTATGTAAGACATAGAAAAGTGACAGAGTGAGGCTTTTCTATGCCTGTAACCTCGGAAATAAAACCCTGTTGTGGTGCTGCATACCTTTAATCCAAACACTTAAGGAGACTGAGATAGGCAGATCTCTGAGTTCAACACCAGGCTGCTCTATGTTGACAATTTTAGTCTACCCAGGGCTACAAGCCTACATCGTAGCCAGGGCTTACAAAAAGGTGGGAGGGGTGCAATCATGGGTAAGGGGGGAAGAAAGGGAAGGAGGGAGGGAGGGGCAAGCTCCTAAAGCACAGAAACATGCAGGAATTAACACCAGGATAGTTTAAAAATAAGAAAAATTAAGACCATTCTGTAAAGTTTGTCCTCTGACTTTAGAGATACAAATTGTCTAATTAAGCCTACCACAGTGAATAATTTTTTTAAATACCAACATATACCATTATAGATTTTAGAATTGGTAGAAATATTTAAGAAGGAAATAAAATACACAAAAAGCTATAGTAGCATTTGGAAACCAGTATGAAAGAAAACAATTTCAACATCCTAAGAGACTCTCCATGCTTGAGAGGCTGGGGCAGAAAGACTGACGATAGTTCTAGGACAGCTGGCCTACAAAGGAAATACCAGGCCATTAGAGCTATCTTCTAAACGACTGACTTTAGCAAAAGGAGGGGGTTACTGCTTCTGAACAGCAGTTCTCAACCTGTATGGTCATGACCCCTTGGGGGGGGGGGGTCAAGCGATCCTTTCACAGGGGTCACCTAAGACCATCGAAAAATATATTTACATTACAATTCATAGCTAGCAAAATGTTAAAGTAGCAACGAAAAAAATTTTATGGTTGGGGTCACCACAACATGAGGAACCATATTAAAGGACTGCTCGCTGCACTTCACTCAGACCTAGCTGCTTAGCACAACCAGTGACGTTACAGACAGATGACAAAGCAGTTGTGGAAGATCGACAGTACCGTATGAATTCCAGGTTTCCTGATCTTCACTCTCTTACAAACCAGGCATAAAGTACTAATTAGTTTTAACAGTTTGTCCACACAAAACAGAATTTATGAAGTGATAAAGTTAAGTCTGTTTGGGTGGGGAGGGGAAGAGAACTCCATCTGTACACCAAGCTGGCCACAAACTTCAAAAACTTCACCTACCTCTGCCTCCCAAGAACTAGGATTAAAGGTATACCACCATACCAGCTCAAAGTTAAGACTTTAAATAGAGCAATAATACAGAGAATTAAAGCCCAACACAATTTCAAATTTTTACACAACAAATATGATAAACTTCCAACTACAACTACAAACCCTTTTAGCCAAAAGTATGGTCATATTTGTCAATTTATATACTATGGATGTTGAGCTTCTGCTTTCAGGCAGCTAAATAAATAAGAAAAACGTTGTGGAGATTTTATAACAGTATCAAAGCATGAATAAGCTATCATAGAAAATAATATGTAAACTAAACACTTTGGCACTGTGACAAAAGGTTGCTGAGGAAAAAAAAATCTTTACCCACTAAATCATCTGCCTCCCCAAATTCTGTTTGTTTTTGAGACAGTCTATAACCTAGGCTATCCTCAAACTAGCAACAATGTTCCTGTCTCAGCTTCCCAAGCACTTCAAACTATAGCTGTGAGCCAGCTATAATGTGGACCCAGCTCTGTCCCAAGCCATTTTTAAAGAAAGACTGAGTACCTCTCTTCCTGTACATTTTCATATTAAAATAAAAGGAGCCCATAAGATGGGTCAATGGCCCTTCTACCACCCTGGGAACGACCTGACAGACAATCAACTCCCACAAGTTGTCCTCTGACTTCCACATGCATCAACTCCAACATTCCTCCTCCTACTCTGCCACACAAACATCATGCACACACACTAAATAAATGTAATCTAAGTAATAATAAGAACAATATATAAAAGCAATGTCCAACATGCCCTCTGGGATAAAATCCACTGAGAAAAGAAAAGATGTATTCCTAATTTTACTTTTAAAATATTAGGCATTAAGATTGTAAAGATAAAGAAACATGAAGCAACCACAGCACAATGATGACAATCACTGAAGTTAAGGTATGGGTTTATGAGGTTCACTAGCCTTTGTTTATCTTCAAACTTCTCAAATGAAGAATTTATAACAAGACCTGGGATCCCAGCACTCAGGAGGCAGGGGCAGGTGGATCTGTGTGAGCTCAAGGCCAGACTGTTCTACACAGTTCCAGGACAGCCAGAGCTACACAAAGAAAGAAACCCTGTCTCAACACCTGCCACCCAAAAAAATTGTAACAAGAGACAATGCTTTGTCACCTGAGAATTCAGTAACACATGCACAACAGAAGCAAGCTGCACTTTTAGAAAAATAAAATTGACAGGTGACTGACAGCTAAGACTGGAGCATCACAGACTTACCTGTTCTTCTCTTTTCTGCTTTCGTAACTGCAGTCCTTCTTCCTCCCTCCTTCTGCGCATCTCATCGGGATTCAGAGATTTGTTCTTATAACTTTTCAGGCGAAAGTTCTCTTTTCCTGGTGTGGTCATGATTTCTAGAAGAATAGAGAAAACCAATGAGTTTTAAAAGTTTTATTATTCTTTGAGCTCAGCCTTCAACATATATGTGTGTGTATACACACCCATGCTCATCAAAAAGGTTATTTTCAACTTTTCATTTCATTAATTTGTTGGGAGGAAGGATGCCAACACACTGAAAGTCAGACACAGTTCTCTCCTTCTACCATATCGGTCTTAGTGGGTGGAACTTGGGTTCCCAGGCCTGGTGGCAAGCACCTTACCCCATAGTCTATCTTATAGCCCTATTTTATTTTCAATAGCATTACTAAAATATTCAAGTCAACAGTTCTTATTATATTAGTGGTATGTGCAGCCATCACCAGAATGAGTTTGAGCATTTTTATCTCCTTAAAAAGAAACCTGTTTCATTTACCTATCATTCTAATTTTAGATATTTCATATAAACAGAATCATGTGACATGCAATCTTTTGTTGATAGACTTCATTTAGCATAATGTTTTTAAGAGTGATTTTCACTGTAACAAGCTATCAATATTTTACTCCTTTCTAATGCTAAACAATATTCCATTGCATATGTTTATAACAATCACATTTATCTCTTAACAGCTGATGGACTTTGGGCTTATTTCTACCTTTTGGCTATTCTGAACTATACTTCCATAAACATTTACGAAGAGAGTTTTCTGCAGATATATTTTCATTTCTTGTGCATATATAATTAGGAATGGTCTTGTGAATCAGAGTAATTTTAAGTTTAATCACTTGAAAAACTGCCCACTGTTCTTCTGAGGTGGCCTTATTATTTTATATGCCATCACTTCATGTGTGTTACAATTTTCTACATCCTAGCTAACACGATGTTTTTTAACTGAATCACTGAAGTGATATCTCATGGTTTTGATTTGTAATCCTTTTGATGACTAATGAAGTACAGAATCTTTTCACAATTATTATCTAAGTACATATCTCATTAAAATCTATCAGATCCTTTTTCTTTTTAAATTGGGTTGTCTTCACTGAGCTGTAATTTTTAGCTAGAGATGGTTCAGTGGTTAAGAGGACCTGGGTTTGGGTTCCAGCACACACATGGTAAGCACAATTATCCACAGCTCCAATTCCAGTGGATCCAAAGACCTCCTGTTACTTCTAAGAGCGCCCAACACCCAAATGGTACATATAAATACATACAGGCAAAACATTCATACACATAAAAATAAATATTAAAAAAAATCTTAACTTTAATCCCTAATATTCCTTTTCTTTTCTTATTCATAATTTGTCATATCTAGAAATTCTTACCCTTATGTTCCTATAATTTTATACAGGTTTTCCCTTACAGTGGCCCATTCCAAGTTAATGTTTGTATATGATATGCAGTCAAAGTTGACAATTTCATTCTTTTATGTGTCCATATATAGTTTTCCATACGATATCTGGTGATCTTTCAATGATCTTGTCACTTGTTATAGAATGCATGCTTATGGCCGCCTATGATTTGTATTTAAAATCCTAAGCCCCAATATGATAGTGTGTGAGAAGAGTCCAGTATGATTTGTTCATGATGGCAGACCACTCAGAAATGAGATTAATTCCCTTATGAAAGACAAAGCCAGTCATGCATGGCAGTGCAGGCTTTTGACCCCAGCACTCGAGAAGCAGAAGCAGGCTCTGAGCTGTCAGCCGAATATACCTAGTGAGTTCCAGGACAGACAGAGCTACAGAGAAACCCTGTCTCAGGGGGAAAAAAGGGAGGGGCGCTGCAAACAGGGTTTGCTTGCCCCTTCTGTTAAGTGAAAAGACAGCCATCTATGAACTATAAAACAACCTCTTGCCAGATACTGAATGTGCCAGAACCTTCGTCTTTTATTTTCCAGCCTCCCTGAACCATGAGAAATGAATCTGTTGCTTAAGAAGCATACAGCTGCCTGACAGCACTCTTGCTGATAACTAGTTCCTTATATATAGACAAATGGTTTAGTTTTATGATTTTCAATTCTATTCAATTGCTCTTTGAGTTATCAGTGCCTGGTGTAAGTTTTAGAACAAGGAAGTGTGTACATTCTTCAAGTTCTCTTAAAAGACTGTCTTAGCCACTACCGACACTTTGTACTTCCACATCAATTTTCAAACCAGTCTTGCCAAGTTCCACAAATCAGCTCAGATACTGACAGGACTATAATGAATCTATAGATCAACTTGGAGAGTATGCCACTATAACAAGCTAAACATTCCAATGGATTAAGTAAGATAACTTTCTTTTTAGAGTTTTGATTTTTCTAACAATTTTTAACCTGTATTTCAATATGTGTGCATGTGTCTACATGTATGCATGTGACCCTCAGGAGACCAAAAGAGGGTGTTGGAAGCCCTGGAACTAAACAATCAATTGTGAGCCACTATGTGTGTGCTGCAAACCAAACCCAGGTCTTCTGCAAGAACAAGTACCGTGCACTTGTGAGCCATCTCTCCAGCTCCCCATACAATGTTTACACACCATTCTAGGTATAAATTTTACATATCTTTTGCTAAGCATATTCATAAGTATTTTTCCTTTTTATTTCCTGGTGAATCAAATTTTAATTTTATTTTGTTATTCATCACACATCTATAGAAATACAACTTATTGTTCTGGGGGTTTCGCTTGATTGGGGTGTGTGTTTGTCTGTTTTTGAGACTGTGCGTCAAGTAGACCAAGTTGGCCTCAAACTCTACCACCCCATGCACTGGGATTCTAGGCATGCACCACCATACCCAGTTTCAAATGATCCTTCAATACGACTGAGCTATTATTGTCAACACTATTCAGTAGATACAAAGTCATTTCCTATAGAGATCACTTTACCAATTTATATTTACCAATCTTATCTTGGTAACTTTTCTGTTTTCAAAACAAAGCTGACATCAAAGGAAAACAACCATTTATCATTAAGTATGACATTACCCTACAGGGTTTTGTTTGGTTGGTTGTTTTTTGTTTATTGAAACAGGGTTTCTCTATGTTGTCTTGGACTCACTTAGACCAAGCTGGCCTCAAACTTACATAGATCCGCCTGCACCTGCCTCTGCCTCGTGAGTGTTGGGGTTGCAGGTGTGCGCCACCATGCCCAACCAGAGTTCTTTCATTAAAAATTTTCTTTATGTGTATGTGTGTATTATGTTTCTGTATGTTACTTGTGTTTGCATGCCAGAAAAGGGCATTAAACCCCAAAAGCAGGAGTTACAAGTTGTTGAGTACTGGGAACTAAACTCAGGCCCTCTGAAAGAACAGGAAGTGCTCTTATGTTTTGGTTGTGAAGCTAGCTTTTAACAAAAGCAGCCAGCTCTGCAGCCCAGGAAGTGTTCTTAACCACTAAGCCGTCTATTTTCTGTGAGTGTGCCCTGCCATGTTGAGAATCTCCTGTCTATTCCTAGGTGAGTGTTCTACCACTGAAGGAATTTGAATTTTGTCAAGTGCTTTTTCTATGTCTACTGAGATGTACTTTGTTCTTATTTTGCTAATATATTACATTAACATGTTTTAGACTTTAAACCAACCCTGCACTGTTGGACTCCATTTGTTACTACTCTGTGGAGAATTGTGTCCAAGTTATGAAATTGGTGGGCACTTTTCTTGTAAATACCTTGTCTGGCTTTGATATCAGACTTTGGTATGGGCTTTATAAAATGAGCTGGGTGTTGGAACTTCGTAAAAAAATAGTACCGAGTCTTCAGATGTCTGGTAGAATTTAGGAGTGAAGCTACCAGGCCTAAGCTTTTCTCTGTGAGCAGCCTGTTCTATAGCTCCACACCTTTTATGCCTACTCAGTCACTCCTTATCTAGACAGTTTGACAATATATACATGTTTCATAAAAGCCTTTACTGTGATACAACTGTTGATATTTTCATAATCATTTTCATTGTAAGGCAGCTAGCTAGTAATGTCCCCAACTTTGTTTTAGTTTTGTATAGAGAGTACCCTTCCCCCTTTTCTATGGTTTTGCTTTCAAAAGTTTCAGACACCCATAATCAACCACAATACAAACCTAGAAAATTCCAGAAGTAAATAATTCTCAAGTTTTACACTGGCCATTATTCTAACTGTTGTTGAAATCTCACATCATCCCACTCCATATTGTCAGGTGAGCAAATCATTACTTTGTCCAGTTTACTCATGCTTGATCTACTAACTACTTGTTAGGAACTAAATAGCCATGCTGGTTATCAAACCAACTGTTATTACACTGCAATGCTTGTATGTATGGTTCAGTTATTACTTGGTGCCAAACACCTTGAGGAAAACAGAATGTCTCCCCCAAAAGACAAGGGAGGAATATTATACTTGGTTACTGAAAGCATAGTAATGAAGTATCCTCACTCTTATTGAATTATTCAATTATCCTTTCATTTATGTCACACACACAAACACCTATTTACTCTAAACTCTAGGAAGACCTTGGATTTGGGAAGACAAAAGGATGACTGGAGAGATTACTCAGTAAATAAAGTGCATACTGCTATTGTAGAAGACCAAAGTTTAGTTCCCAGAACCCACGTCAGGTGGCTCACAACCATTCTAACTCCAGCTTCAGGATATCTGACACCTCTGGCCACCACTAGAAGCTTCTATGATTGTACAAAGAGACAGACAGAATGAAGCTCTGCCCCAAAAGAGGTCAGACAGGGTAGCACAAGCCTGTGATCCCAGAACTTGGAAGATGGAGACAAGAAGATCAAGATTCCAAGGTCACTGTCAGCTACAAGTTCAAGACCAAGACAAATCTGGGCTACATAAGAAAACCTGTCCCAAAACAAAATTTAAGTTAAATTTCTAAAATCTAAAAATATTTCCACAAAAATTAACTACTCAGTTATTTTTTTTTCCTAAAGAAAAAAGTTGGCTCTAGCTGAAAAATCCCCTTAAAAATCCTAAAGGCAGAAATGACTGTCAGAACTTGTTTATGCACAGTAATAAAGTACCATGTGTAGATTTAAAAAACATAATGAGCCAGGTGGCACATGCCTAGAATCCTAGCA